TAGTAGAAGCGTAGTAAATTTCTTAAGAACTGCGTACTGCCTTAAGGAAATTTGACTCAAGAAAATTTCTTAGCCATTTCTTGTACGTCATTTTATATGGAGTTTTTGCTTTTCTTGAGAGCTGCATACAGGCCTTAAAGATTGTCGAATAACTTTAAAATTTCATTTTCAGATCATATGTATATTCAAACTGCCCCTACATGGCTGATATTGGCCATTTAAATAACACTCTGAAACTCAACCCAAGTTATCAATTAAATGTTCATTTGAGACTGGCCCTAAAAGTAATTGGTGTGTATATGATAATTAACACCATGGCCTGCCACCAAAATAAACATTTTCCTTTATTTCACATATGTATTGTGGTGTGCCTTGCTGGTTGAACGATTGCGGTAGATGGCGCTCATCTTGACAGCTGTGCTCTACTTAGAGATAAGAAATCACATTTTGCAACCGGTACTTCAGTTTTCGAAAAAATATGCCTGCACGCACATATACATATGTGCATAAAGAGCAAATGTGGATGTATAAATTTTCTATTAGGCCAAGCAAAGTAAAAGATAATGCGTTGAAGTGGGATTTTATGTGGCAAATATGCTTAAATTTCATGCTTGTACGAAAGTAATTTCAACTTAAGCAGATCTGAAAGGAGCATAATGGTACCTCTTTTTCCATCACTGGTTGCACTACATTGGCATACTTTACAATTTACTGAATGACATAAATGTCATTCTGAAATATACCACGAGGTCGTACGCAGTATTAGTTGCGTTCCAGATGCTTCACGATTTGCAGGTTTTTACAGGAATTCGTTCCAGGTGACCACCTCCCATAAGGTTTATTAATGGAGAAAACAGCTGTTCCTGCAAATCGTGAATTTCGTGAATATCGTGAAGCATCTGGAACGCAACTATTATATGGAAATGGTAAGTTATGTAATTTGTAAACGTTTTATATATTTTAATTGAATACATATTTTCAAGTTCAATAAAAGGGGAAGGCGCAACTGCTGCTGGCGTAACATACTTAAATGCAGCGGCTACATTATTTTCCGAGTCGTCATCTCTAAAGTACTCGCGGGAAGCCTTCTCAGCTAATAAAAAATAAATAATCTCCACGCTCTAGCATGTGTAGAGTCCGAAGAAACTACAAGAGGTACAACCATCAGCAGAAACGCCAATTTATTATACATGGCTACCGCGGCTGGTAAATTGCACATTGGCGCACAGCGGAAAGTGCGACAAGTTTTGCATGAGTCGTCTTCGTGTAGTAAATGCGCACCACATTGGGAATATACAGAAGTTGCTCCAAAAGAAGTGATAATTGACGAAATTGAAAAGAAGCTAATACGCAGTTAGCAGCGGGACACCTATTGGCACACCATTGCATTGCCAAAGTAGGGAGACTGCAATTAGAAGCATCACGATGATTGTAAGTTTATAATACGCAACAATCTACTGATTTCAACAATGGTCAACTATATGACTTATGATAACAGGTGGGCACTACCACAAACTAGCGTTAGCTAAAAGTGAGAATGTGTTAGTGTCCCTAATTCATTCTGCATGCTGTCGCGTTCTCATCGTTACGCTCTTGCTTGTATACGTACACACGATGATTACGCTCTTTGCGCGTGTGCTCGTTCTCTGTCCATGCCTGCTTACGATGGACGATAGCTATCCAAGCAAGGCGAAATTATACAAAGTGGTGTTGATGGCGAATTAAATTTTCGCCGCGGTACTACTGAATGTCAAAATGATGTGTTTTTTGTAAACAAGGCGAATTCGTTTTACAACAAACACACCATTTTGACATTAAGACGTACCTCGGCGTAATTCGTCATCAACACCACCTTGTATAAATTCGCCTTGTATCCAAGGTTAGTTTTGCATATCGAGCAGATACTGCTCAGCAGTACTTCCATTTAGACAAGGTCACATGATTATGAAGAACATTTCGTTAATGTGTATATGTGTATTCACAGATATGTGAATGGTATGGGCTCGTTAGTGCATACCCTGACGGAAAAATTAAATCAGTTTCAAAACTCAACATGTGTACAACCTAATTTTTAGTATGCTAATTTCGAATGATTTAAACTAAATGCAGCGTGGGATAGTTTTGATTCCATATTCTCTTACGCCATTCCTTTTTGTTAACTTCGTTTTATTTAAGTTGTTGAATTTAAATTACAAGTAGACGATTTGTAAATTAGTGAAATATGTAACGATTGACTGCTTCTTATTACATTGCTATGTTTAATGAAAGGGTTCGTTCCAAGAAGTAGGAATTAGTTGTTATTGAAAGAAGTGTAGTTTTTAAACTAATTTAGTCACATTTCATATCCGGCAGGATATATTTAGGTTGTGTAAGCGCCAGTCTGTAGATTACCTATTGGTGTTATTATACATATGTAAAAGTGTTTTATATGTGTGGTTGGCGTAATGACGTCATCGGGAAAAGCACTGGTGCCGAACTGATTCGGATCTAGAGAATTTGGAATCATGAATAGTCCATGTTAATTTTCTTTTGCCGAATTTAAACGATATTTTCTCAATTGTGATGCAGACATAAGAGATTTATTACGCATATTATGTGAGTCGTGATATTAACACTCTTGGAGGCTAATTGGTGGTTCTATTTTGTTGTGTAATTTTGTAATGCTACTTAGT